GTGAGAGTTACTAGAATGTGCCACTCTTTGTTTTGTGCAGTGTCAGGTGGATAACATTACTCTGACACTTGTTTACAGCTGAGTATCTTCTGAATCAAGTCCTCCATGCTTTATTGTTGGTCAAAGGGCATTTCACCTCTGGAAGTGGAAGTTGCTCTATGCCTGCAAGGAGAAAATTCACATCCCTTCTGAACTGTTCCTGATTTTGTGGTGTAACTTTGTATGCTCTACCTTGTGTTAGATGAAGAAGAAATAACTCAGAAGGCATATTAACTATATAGATTGAGAAATAAGGCCGACATTATTTATGTATTTCAGTAGAAGGAGAGATTTACATTTGTTCTAGTGGAGTAGCTGTTAAGTTAATTGTGAAATATGTAGCTTCTTTTAAACTAATTGTATCTTACTGCATTCATTTATAAAGAGACAGAAAAGAAAGTCACTGTCTGTGCTTTGAATCTTACAGCCCCTGTAAGATCCTGGATGTTTCCAATAGGTTGAAATCTTGCTGAAATGATGGGGAACTTGAATGTGTTGTGCTGAAAACTCCATTTCCACATGCTGAATACACTGAGGGGTAAAAAGAACAAAAGAAATGCTTCAATTTATTTTGCGATGAAAAGCTTAATTTGCAATTGGGTGATTATTTGATACTGCTGAGCAGCAGGGCCATGGTTCAGACAGGCACTAGACAACATGCCTAGTTTTAAATTATGCATTTACCAAGTAGCAAGCCACCTAGGACTTGTGGGATACTCGTTCACTTTTTAACTTGATTCAATAATTTAAGGCAAAAGGTCTTTTGATATTAGTAACACTTTCCAAATGTTTTACAAATATTTGGAACATTTCACAGGTTTTGGCAATGTCTTACATGAGTGCTGAGTTTCAAATCTTCACGTCTGTGTAAGATTCCATGCAAATACCTTGGGCACTACTGGAACTATGTAATCCTGTCAGCAGAAGTCAGAGTCAGAAGTATGAAATAAATTTGATCCCCACTGAGAACTTGGGTTTATTTGACCGATTCTTGTTTGACTCGCAGTGGATTGGCCACTCAGGTATGTGACACAGCCCTGGTGCTACAGCTGCCTCTCCTCTGGGATTGTTTGCATTCCTATAGTCCATGAAGTTCAAACGGGGTGGGCAAGACAATCCTGGGAGAAGAAGACACTAGAACTTCAGTAGTACAGGTATATAATTTGTAAATAAATAAATATACATGTGTTGGGATGAGTGATCAGAAATGTTTTACTCAATAGGGTGCACAATCAAAATCACTGCTACAGTCATCCCTTGAGGAGGGGCTTTGCCTACAGTTCCCCATGGAAGCAACCCTTGAATAGTGAAACTCGGAAAAAATGAGCTAGTCCGCTTCTGAGTCCTAATGGGGATTCCAGCTAAGCAGGTATAGGGTGTTTCAAGGATTGATCTTATGTAATCCTTTCATTTTTCATGTCATTTATGCTGTCATCAAAGTAAGCATACAATGGATATGAAATGTGCCCAGACTGTTTCTGCATTCAGGAGGATTTGTCCACCAGCTTGCCTGCATTGCAGGATGGGCTCATTAGGGTTTTCTCCTTGCCTGGTCAATAAGGTGTCTTGTATAGTTCCACACTGGCATCTGAACTAAGCCCTGCTTCTAATTATAAGCAATATTAGTAAACAATTATCAAAAATAAGTGATGCTTTCTTAGACTATCTGAGATTTTTCTCTGAGTTTAAAGGCAAACTTGAGCTTTGCCCATAATAGCACTGCAGCCAGTTATCCCTTGGTTAACATAAAGCTGATTATAATAACAAATATGACTGGATATAAAAGTATCGCAGCAGCAGAGGAAAAAAGAGAGGGCAGGAGACACAAATCTGACTGAGATATTTTCACTTGAGACAAGTTATAATTTCAGAATTACAGCTATGTGAAATGTCACTTTTTCTGCCCCATGAAACAAATGCCATCCTGCTATTGCAGATCTTTTCCTTTGTTAAATCAGAAAAAGATATAACACATCAGAAAACGTCCAGGAGTTTTGTGCTTCCACAAGTGCTGATTTAGTTTAGATGATATTATGACATTTAACTACTATGTCTCTTTTAGCTCTCGGTTTTCACAGGTCTGTAATTTTGTGAATGACACCAACCCTTGCTCCCCCAGGAGGAACCAGCCATCTGAGCGGGAGTCCAGCAACAGCACTGACTGAGGCCAGTCTCCGAAGTCACCTGAAATGTAGGCAAACAGCAGGAGGACTACAGGCAATATTAAAATGCCCAAACCTGCCATGGGCACCATGTCCCCAGCCAGAGGAAAAGCACAGACTGTGCTGCTGTGACACAGCCATGTCCCCAGCTCCCCAGAGCAGCCATGTGCTCCACAGCTCCTCAGGGGATGGAGACAGACACCCAAGAATGCTGAGCTCCCCATCACATCCAGGACATCGGCAGCTGTGGGGCAAGTGGTGCCAGTATAGGGATATTGAATTAGTTGTCCTAACATCAGTCTGGCATTTGCACATGTGGATTTGTTTGGAAACCGTTATTCCTTTTGTTTACTTTCTTTCACACAGATAGTAATTTGTTTAGTGTACCCTGTTGAATTAATCACAGTTTATACTTCTCTGCTGGAATGCAAATATACCCATTTAAGTACCACAAAAAGAAAAGAACACTGTATTTTGCTTTCCAACACATTAACAAATACATAGTTTTGGGAAGAAACAAATTTTTACCTGGAAATGGGGAAAGCATATGCTTTGCTACTTCCCCAGTTTCCTCAGATAAATCCTTTTATTGTTGGTGAAAAGGGGACAGTGATCATCTGCTGCCCTTAAATATATGACTAACTTTATTCAAGTTAGAAAACTATGTGATTATGATGTTAACATAGAATCATAGAATAGTTTGGGTTGGAAGGGACCTTAAAGCTCATCCAGTCCAACCCCTGCCATGCACAGGAACACCTCCCACCAGACCAGGTTGCTCGAAGCCCCATCCAACCTGGCCTTGAACGCTGCCAGGGAGGGGGCATCCACAGCTTCCCTGGGCAACCTGTGCCAGTGTCTCACCACCCTCACAGTAAAGAATTTCTTCCTAATATCTGGTCTAAATCTACCCTCTTCCAGTTTAAAACCATTACCCACCATTCTATCACTCCTATAAGACCCCTTCAGGAACTGGAAGGCTGCAATAAGGTCCCCCCAGAGCCTTCTCTTCTCCAGGCTGAACAGCCCCAACTTTCTCTGTTGGTCCCCACAGGGGAGGTGCTCCAGCCTCTGATCATCTTCATGGCCCTTCTCTGGACCTGCTCCAACAGCTCGATGTCCTTCTTATATTGGGGGCCCCAGCACTGGAAGCAGCACTGCAGGTGGGGCCTCACGAGAGCAGAGGGGCAGAATCCCCTCCGTTGCCCTGCTGGCCACACTTCTTGTGATGCAGCCCAGGATGCAGTTGGTCTTCTGGGCTGTAAGTGCACATTGCTGGCTCATGTCGAGTTTTTCACTGACCGATATCCCCAAGTCCTTCTCCTTAGGACTGCTCTCGAGCCATTCTCTGCCCAGCCTGTATTTGTGATCCAGCACTGCTCACTTAGGAACACAGAGGTTCCCCCAGATCACCACTGCTGGTGATTACTGTAATGAAATTTGAAAAGACACAAAAAAGTAGCTTGAACTTGCACTTGCAAAGTAAAAATTGGTATTTTGTGCCTTATTGTCACTTGCACAGGAGGGGTCAGATGGCACAACAGTGAAACACGACTGCAGAAGGCCTAAGAGAAGTGAGCTACCGCCAACCTGACCAGTGGCCACCCCATCCAAGCCTGCCTGGAAAGGGAGATAGTTGTCAAGGAGCATCAACAGCCAAAACCAAGTATAGCTTTAACAGCAGGAGAAATTTGCCTCTTCAAAATTAAACAATAGCTATAGCTGAAAAGACTACACCTGTCCCTTGAGAGAGGATAATTCCAGACTTTTTAACAGCAGCAATAATTCCAAGGTTGCAGTGGATAAACACTTTTTTTATTCTAATAAACTCTGGATATAAGCAACACAGAAATGCAAACATATTACACATTCAAAGTTGTTTGGTTTGACTTTCTTCTTAGTCCTTTAGTGTTACCAACCACAGCAACATGTTCCATTAATTTGCACGGACCAATTCATTACAGAGAAACAGTGAAGCATTAAACAGAAGCATTAAACTGTTCAGACACCACCACCACAAGTTCTTGCTTGTCAGGTACTACACACGGGATTCTTCCTTCCCCAACACAACTGCAATTTAAGGAGCAAAACTGCACACACCATTAACTTCCTGTAAAATACAAAGGATGAGAAAGACTTACGCTGGGTTGTTATATTTTCCCCTCCATAAGTTATGAAAATATCTTTCAAAAAGGAATCCAAAATAGTCTGTTGTACAACACATGTTCAACTTATAAACACATACAGAGTAGAACACAGTATTAATACAGTAGAAGTTTTATTTACATCATCACTGTGGGATATCAAACTTTCTACGTGTACACTTCAGTCTCTTCTTTCAGAAGGGCCAAACTTCCAAACAGCAATTTTTTTGAAGGTATGATTAATAACACCTTCAAATGCTGACAACTAGCCAAATGTATAATCAGGAAACACACTGTACAATTGCAAAGTAAATTAAACTGTGTAAAAAATAAAAATAACTTAAGAGTGACACTGCTTATCTGCAGTCTCTTTCAAACTAATTTCAGTCATTTGTTATTCTCTTTTTATTAATATAGATTATTTCATGGCTCAGTAAAGGCAGGCAATAGCTTGTAATTTAGTATTCAGCTCACAGCTGATCCTGCAAAGTTAAGAGGAAGCTGAGTTGTCTTGATGCTGCCACAGCATGCTTTGACTTGGCCTCCTAGCCCACGTAAGTAGTTAAAGCAGTCCTTACATGCAGACCCATACTCTCTTTAGCAAAGACCCTTGGTAATTTATTCAGGCAAGTCAGTGGTTGGTATTTTGTTGTGCTCAGTCACTATCATATTCCTCTATGTTTAATTCATCTTCCTCCATGATTGCTTGAGCTGCAACAGGCTGAGGCTGGCTGCACGGTAGTTCACCTCCACTGCACTGGCTAGAAGAAAGAGGGAATCCATCCAATTCATTCTCTGTCTGCGCAGCAGTCTCCATAGCATGCTTGTCAGCAAGGTCCCGCTCGGAGCTAGCAAACAAGTCTGGTATCCCAGGATCTTTATCAGTCAGTGCTTCAAGCTTCAACCTGTAAAATCAACATTGCAACAGTAAGTTACCACAAAAAAAAGTCTGTTCTCTCACACAGAAGCTGCAATAGAAGAGATCGGCCATGTACCACACAGTACCCACTGATACATGAAGTTAATAATAAAAAATTATAGTTACTGACAAAAACACATCCTGATACCAATTCCATGCACTCTCCTCGATGCCAGTTTTCTTACTACAGTACCATTCCATGAATAAATATAAATGAAAATAAATATTCTTATTTCCATTGACACAGTTGTATATAAGTTATTTTAAGGACTGCTTAATAACACAAAATAGATTATTTTTAATTACAATTCCTGAAGGAAGCAAATGCTTACTGAAATGTCTATCTTTCACTATACTTCCTTTCCAAAACAGCAAACAAATGAGAAAGGATTATTGTGTTTTAAGGGGAAATTTACCCCTCAGATAAAACTCTAAATGACATACATGCAACTTATGAATGCAGACACAAAACATTTAGTAATATTCAATGTTCTGCCACAGACAAAATTAATGGCATAAGGAAGTCTATAATCAATTTGTAAAGTTACAAACACTTTGCGTTAGACAAGGGAGATTGCAAAGAAACATACCTGTTAGGGACATGTTACTTTCCTCCTGACTAGCAATCAAAATGGTTTTTAATACAACTGTTGGGGAACAGCCTTTACCTCATAGGCCAGTAAAGGCAGACCAATACCACAGTGATAAATATGAGATGCTTTGTCAGATGCCCTAACACACTCTCTCTCTTGATTAAGAGATGAGGTAGTCTCATTCCAACTAACTGCTGTCTCAATCCTTTATTAGAAACATCATAATTAAACTTTTTAGATTTCAGAAATACCAAAGTTACAGAAAAGTAGCTGAGGCTCTACTAGTGTACTACTAGTACTACTACTGGTGTAAACAATGCCTATGATTCAGAAGGCTCACTAGAGTCATTATATAAAACGACATGCAACGTTACCCCCATGAGTGCTACACAATCTGTAGGCAGAGCACCAGTTTTGCAGTTGAAATAAAAAGTATTTTTTTCCATATTTAACACCTAAGAGAGAGAGACTTCAGTAGCTATAGTTTCATTTTTAAAAATGCATTCTAAACAAAGGTGCACTCTAATTATCAAATTTGCAAATTAATGTTTTTTGTCATGAAGAACCAATAGACAAAGTGCACTATACTCTCTGCATCAATCCACTTTTATTCTCATGCAAATATTTTTGATTGCAGAAAAAATATTTTATTCAGATAATGCACTGAAGAAACAGTTAAGTCTAGGTCAGAGACCTAATATTTGATACAATGGAAAAGAAAGGCAAACAAGGATTAAAAGCAATACTATAGTAAAGATGTGTCTACTAACATTGTAACGATAAATAGATTTGAACTGGAAAACGTTTTAACAGGAAAAGATAAAATTACCATGCTGCAAGTGAGGGAAAATGTCACATTTTAGATACACATTGAAGATGCTTCTATATGAAAGAGCTCTTTTCCTCAATGTATTAAGAAAGTTTTACTTTCTTTAGGAAAAGACTGAAGTGAAGTTTACCTCTCAAAATGTCTTTTCAGCGGTAGCCTCCCAACATCTTGGATAAAAGCAATCTGAGCTGAGAACAAAGAATCACCAGTGTCATATTGGGTAGACCATAATGCACATAAAGATAAGCATACTGGAAAATAAATAATTCTTAAGTTTAGTCGAGTATTCCTGCATATATTTGAAACATTTTGGATACCAAAACACTGCATGCACATGTATGGAGTTTTTTGTTTGGGTTTTTTCCTTTTCTCCAAATTGTTTGCTGCATTACCGTTACATATTTACAGATTGCCTACACATAAAAACAACCCCTGACATTCATCAACTGTGTATTTATGATGCAGTTATTATTCCATAGCCTACAAAATGAATTCATCCTGACATCAAGGCTTCAGTTGAAACATTAGGTCTTTCATTAGAAGTAAGTAACACAGCATAAGCAACCCAGTTGTCTAAAACATACTTTTTATCTTATGTACCATACAAACTAAGTTTCTCTGGGTGAACTGTCTCCTACTGGATTACCTCAGGTTGCGCATTTTTAATGCACTGCAAAGTTGGATTTTGTTCACTTTAACTGGGAAAGGCTTTTTAAAGCCTTTTAAGTCTATTGATGTTACTAGAAAGGGATGAGTAAGCAATGAAGATCTAGTTAGTATTGCCTACTTGCTTTCCAAAAGTCTTCTGACCAAATCCTCTAGTAGATTTAAAAGAAGTCCTAAGCCTAAGAGAACCACTTAATTAGTAAAGTTTGATAAATAATTAACAAATAGGAAATGGGGAGAGGAGTATGAGGTAACAATTAACACTTGTAAAGGAAAAAAGTTGCCAATGCAGTTCTTCAGAGACCTGTGCTAAGACCTGGGCCATCCAGCACGTTCTTAAACATAATAGAATAGAATATTGTGTCCAGTTCTGGGCCCCTCAGTTCAAGAAGGACAGGGAACTGCTGGAGAGAGTCCAGCGTAGGGCTACAAAGATGATCAAGGGAGTGGAGCATCTCCCATATGAGGAGCGGCTGAGGGAGCTGGGTCTCTTTAGTGTGCAGAAGAGGAGACTGAGGGGAGACCTCATTCATGTTTATAAATATTTAAAGGGTGAGTGTCACGAGGATGGAGCCAGGCTCTTCTCAGCGACAAATAATGATAAGACAAGGGGTAACGGACACAAACTGGAACACAGGAGGTTCCACTTAAATATGAGAAGAAACTTCTTCTCAGTGAGCGTGACAGAGCACTGGAACAGGCTGCCCAGAGAGGTTGTGGAGTCTCCTTCTCTGGAGACATTCAAAACCCGCCTGGACGCCTTCCTGTGCAACCTCATCTAGGTGTTCCTGCTCCGGCAGGGGGATTGGACTAGATGATCTCTTGAGGTCCCTTCCAATCCCTAACGTTCTGTGATTCTGTGATAAGCCTGTGAAAAAAGGGGGTGAAGAGCGAGATGAGCAAGTTTGCTGATGCCACCCAGTTAGACAAGCTAGTAAGGATATGGGCAGACAAGAAAACTGTGCAAGGACCTTAAAAGACTGAGTGAGAGGGCAACATGATGAAATTCAGAAATACTCATATACCAGAAATCCATGCAGTAAAAAAAGGGAAGAATGATTTCAAATCCAACATGAGGACCCCATCTTACACATCTATAAAGCACATATATACCTCACTTTTGCCAAGAGGGATAATTGTTTTAATTCTTTCAATTACCTAAGTTTTAAAAATGTTCTTGATGTTGTTGTGCACCTAACAGGACAGCTTTAATTTTGGCTGTATTACTAGAAATAGTTTTAGATATCAGCTAGATGCACATACCATAAGTAGTTTTTAAACTGAGGCAGCAGCATAGATAGTATTGACATTTTGGATTACAAAACATTTCAGTATGCTTTAATGACAAAAGAGTCCAAGATCAAGAGTTACACTCATCTTACCTTGGTTTCTCATTGGATTTGCTAACATGGCAAGATAAGGCAATAGCTCTGTCTGAAGACATTCAGGTGGTAAACAGAAGCTTGAAAAGAGAGATTTTGCAGCAAGGCAGTTTTCTTGATACTGTTAAGAGTTGGTGGGAAAAGAAACACAAGTAAAAAACCTGATAAATCATTATTAATGTAGTCTGTGCCACAAAAGACACTCTTCTTGCCTGCTGGATGACTACACACAAGCCAAGACCAAAAAAAAAAGACAAGTGGTTAGTTAACATAGATCATAAAAATGGTAAATCCCCTCATTTCAGCCTTTTGCTGTACATTAAAATTTTCAGAAAACATTTATTCCTTGATTATACCCCCCACCACCCATCCAGACCAGTATTTTCTGCCAGATACAGCAAGAAAAGTCTTAGCTCCAGTGTAAAAACATTACAAGAGCTTGGTATCTCATGAAGAAGCTACTTCTGATAAACACACAAAACATAACAGCAGTAATTTGTTGAGCTTACACAACAGCGTAATGTGATCTAAACTGCACAAAAACTTAAACTTACTTTTAGGAACACTTTATAGCACTTCAAGACTAACTGTGTCTCCATTAACTTAAGATTAAGGCTCTCCCAGCAGTTTGCCAACTTGGACACAGGATTCAAACTTTGTCAGAGGCCTCCAATTAAAGGAATAATACAAATATAACTTTTCAAGCAAGTGCTTTTTAGAAGTAGGTTATATCAAAATACGATATTTGACAATTTTAGCACTGTGAGCAAATCTATACTATTCAATTGTCATACCTTAAAAAATGAAGAAAAAAAAATCAACCATTTACCTTTTTATTGATAAAGAACCACTGAGATTTATGTAAAGGCCGGAACCCCATCCCTCCTTGCTGGTGGGCAAAGGCTCTGGACGTATTTGAATGTATCACTCCTCGGGTAGCAACAGATGCACTGTATTCTTCCATCACAAGCCGTGTCTGAGAGAGAAATCAGGCATTATGTGCACTCATGGTACGTTGTGTCTCATTTGAGCTAAAACACACTCTGTAATTGCAGTGACACAACACACACAGAATTTGTTTAGATTACTGTGAAACTTTTACTCAAAGCAGCTCAATGAAATAGCTAGCTCAGTTACTTCAGGGAAAGTCATACAGACTGCAACACATTTTTTAGCATAAATTTGTTCTACTTAAAAAATACTTTGTAGAACATTTTACAAACACTGTAACCCACTACAATAAAATACTGACAGAAGCTGGACAAATAGCTGGACCTGCATCTTTCCTATAGCTGATATACTGTAGCATTCATTAACAATTCACTGTCATGTACCCCATAAGTTTGAAGTGATATAGCTTAATTCTTATTGACTTGTAAGAAAATAACTTTCTACCATTCATAAACAGTGAGAAAATTCAGAAGCTCTATGTCTGAGTATTAAAAAAAGTATGTGCGTATAAAGAGATGACACTTACACTCCAGTTACTACAAAGGACATCAGCAGTGCTCAAATATTCACTGGCTCTCACTACATCATCTATATCAGAAAAAAAGTCTACATAGTTCTGGTGAAGGTATAAAATAAACATGCTTCCAGACATATGCGATTTTTCCACAATATCCTATCAGACAAAAAAAAGGTTCAAGTTTTACACAGTGTATAAGGAAAAGTATTCTATAAAAGTCCTAGTATGTTCAGATGGTTAGGGAGCTGGCACACATGATCTGTGAAGTGATGCTTATACACAAAAGGGGGGATGGCTTGGTCTCAGAGAAGGGTAATGGTGGGGAATGGAGGGGCAGAAGCTATGTCTGCATTCAACTCTCCTCTTAATGAGTGGTAACAGAAAGGTGAGCCCAGACTCCCCTTGGCAATGCACAGTGAAAGGATGAAAGGTAACAATCACAGCTGGCAGCAAAGGAAAGTTCACCTTCCACCACAAGTCTGTCAGTGAGGTGAGAGAACCTCCATCCTTTGAGGTACTCAAACACTACAGATCAAGAGCCTGGGAACCTAATCCAGCTTTGAAGTTAGCCTCCAGAAGTCCCTTCTAGATTAAATCTTCTATAACTTAAACAGACTGAATACATATATATTAAGATCAGTGTCGAAACCACTGTGCTTGAGATTTTGCAGCTTAAGACTTAAGAGTGGTTTGGTTTGTTTTCAAACTGAACTGGAAGCAAGTAGTTATTGCAGGTATACCTCGGGCTGAATAAGCAAGGTGTCTCGACGGTATTCTGATAAGTGAGCAGGCAGCTGAGGAAACTCTGATTCTGATATTGGTTCTCCTAAAAAGGATTTTACAGTCTTAAGTCTCTTAGTATCAGAAATATTGTTACATTTCTGCACATAATTAAAAAGGCCAGAAGAAAAAAAGACACACATTTCAGATTAAATATTCAAAATTTGAGTAACATGAACAAGAATAGAGATGTGTAACTACATGAATAACAGTTTTCACATGTACTGAGTGTCATTTTTAGCAACTGTCAACTCCACCGGTAACTAGTTTACATCATTTTCAGTTCCCAGAAAGCTCTTGATGCAGGCATAAGTACTTAACTGTATAGTCAATGTCATATAGTGAACTAATTTAACCTATTTTCGTATTTCCTCATCTCCCCATTTGTCCTCAGTTGATTTTGGAACTGATATCGTGAACTGTTACCAAAATGTGGACAGTCAATGGCATTATGGATCCTGATTTAGCTCAATGCAGATAGTACTAATTTAACAAGTACCAAATGCTGATTGAATTACAGGTTTTAAGTGTTAGAAAAGCAGTATTGTAACCACACACAAGGAGCAGATACGTTCTGTAGAACCTGAGTGTATAAAAAAAAACCCCAAAAACATACAGTAGTAGTAAACCAGAAAGTATTTTGGAGCGGTGGAAAGGGAGACAGGGTATGACAGAGAAGTGGAAATGGCTTTCATGTCAGAAAGGAGAGAGCATGTATGTCTGCTAAAGGGAAACAAAGAGTTGAGATAAAAAGCAGGGAGGAAAAGACAGCAGTAGTCAAATCCATATACACAAATAAGGGAGTCAGTAGCTATGAGGGTGCAGGGCTGTCCTGTAACCTTTAGGAATACAGACAAGCACAGAACACAACCATGCAACAAAGTATAATTCTGCACAAAGACAAAATGTGCTTTTGTACAAAGCAACAAATGTGGTGGCTATCTATCTATCTGTGTGTGCACAGCAGCACATGGACCTAATGCAACTACAGTTATGTAATCCTATTACACACATGCAGTGCATCTTAATGAAACATTTATTTACCTAATAGATACAGAGAGCTGCAACTACCGTTACCACAAACTTTTATTACTGTTATAAATGACTAAACATGCAAATTAGAGCTAACCCCAACCCATACTTTAGCAAAGCTAGCTATTAGCAGCAGACATGCTTTTCCCATTGCAAGTAAGAAAAAGACTGTTTTCTTACTTTTGCAGTAAATTATTTTCCCCAAAGCATGGAAAAGAAAGATGGAAGCATCTTTGCCACCAATAGCTTGTATCTCCCGGTCTTCTGAAGTATCAGATTTACTTTTCTTTCTTACTTTAGATACCATTGCTGCTTCACATTTTAGTGTGGAGCTCTTTTTATTCCGTGACCAAAACTCCTTCTCCAATGAGCAGTCTATCAATAAAAGCACAAATGCAATCAGGATTAAGTATATGAATCTTTAAAGAGTTTTCTATTATATTGCTAATATTCTAAACAAACAAATTAAAAAGAAAAACACAGGTTATACAAATAGAGGCACTGGAAGAAAAATAATTTATTAGGAAGGCAACCCAGTCACCTAATCTAGCATGCTTCATTCCACTTCTGCATCTGAAGCCACAGTTAATGAGCCAAGTACTTTTTTGAATAATAACTCTTTAAAAAAAGTTAGCACTATTGCTTAGTCCTTCTAGTTCTGATGCATCCCCAACTTGCCTTTCTTAAAAGTTTATTCTTTATAAAGTACAAGTGCAAATATATGTAAATGATATTTCAGTTACATTCTGTTCACTTAACCATTTAACTTCTATTTGCATTATGTGTATAATACCATCAATGAAATATAAGACAGCTAAGAAAACCTTTCATTTAGGCAATTCTTACAATAGTTTACTAATTTCCACAGTGTTCTGAGCATTATGGAATAAAATCCTTCTTCTACTCTACTTTGAAACTCAAAAATATTCACCCACAATTAGATTTAGCAGCAGATGAATGTTCCTTATCAAACTAAGAAGACAACTGTTGAATTCACTTATTTTTAGGTTGCATATAAGTGCTGGCACCATCTAACAGTTCTTAGAATGAACTATACATGCCACAGTACTGCTTTTAAAAATAATAGATTCTGTAACTCGTGTAACATTGGTTTATTAACAATTATTGACTCCCTTTTAAGAGACATAACAGTATGTGTCCTGCTTTGTTTTGATGTTGGACCTTTTAAAATAATACCAAAATATGATTGGAGCACTGTCCAACCAAGTAATTTGAAGACTACTAAAACACTGAAGCTCAGAGTTATTGTATGCACTCAGTAACTTCACAATAGGTCATGCCACCTCACAGCTTTTCAGTTCAACAGCTGTAGGAATGCCAAAGCAAAATTAGTCATTCTAGAAATGCTGTATACAAAGTTGATTGACTATTTCAGAAATGCTTTAAGGGTAGCAATAAGGACATGAAGTATAAAGACACAAGCAATGAAAATATCCCTTTCAAATTAAGGTTGCATCATAAACTTTGATCTGTAAACACATACCAATAGCAAAGATATCAAGAAGAAAAGAGGGCATTTCATTAAATTACATCAACATATACATAGCAGATGTTACTCAGTTTAAAAACTGCATGTAACAGCCATGAAATGTAACATTTACACCAAAAAACCCAAATAAAAAACAAAAAAACCCTCACAAAACCAAACAAACAAAAAAGCCCCCACACAAAAAAATCCCACAATACTTTGTGCCTTCTATTTGTGAACCAGAGCAGCATGCCAAAAATGTTTTGCACAGCTCATCTAGCTCCGTTTCAACAGTGAAACGAGTACCTTTACAGCAAAAATGGTCGAAATACCATTCACTTAAGAAAATCATAGGTATTTACCTTTCATAGAAGAAAACTGAAGACTGTTTATTGCACTTCTTATATCACCTGAACAACCTCTGCAAAGCAACTCCAGAGAAGTTCTATCAAAAGCATAATTCTTTTCTCTGTTCTACAAGGAAAAGCAATATTCAGAGTAGCATGAAGAAGCAGGAAAAGGAGTACTTGAGTATTATTCTGGTTATTTGGACCCACCTCCGATACATGGTTTGAGAACATGGTGAGTGCTCACATGGTCTCTAACTGCTAACTTTAAAACATTTAATCCATTTAAGCACATTGTCACATTTTATATAGCAATATTAAAGAGAATAATGTGCATAATTCTTTGCAAGGTGTCACTCAATATTAGACTTGGTTGTAATCAAAACAGTTCAAAAATAGTACAGAATTTACGTTCATGACCTCTTCTGGCCTTGCTGGATAGAACAAAAATTACTTCTGTTCCTTTTATTTGTTTCATATATGTAGTTTTCTATATATCTTTCCAGTTTGTTCCTTGTTTTCTATTGGGGAGAATTGATGAGGGTTTAGGGGAGTCTGCTATCAAAGATCAAACAAATACAGTAACAAATAAAATAACGTTATTTCAGATACAAAAGTCTGAAATCTTTTGGTCCTAGCACTGCACAGAAGTTACCAGTTTTGACAACTTACCATACTAGCTTCTGTTGCAGCTATTCGATTAAGAACTTTCATCATATTTGTTGGTGCAACAGGCTTGAAACTGTTGAATTTCATTGAAAAAAATTAGTTAGTTTCTGACCTCTCATTTATTTCAATCAAGTTTTAATGAGTTAAAAGATCTTACCTAATATTGGATATACACAACTCCTCTATAATTTCTGTTGGAAACAGTAACCTCTGGTTGCTGTCTCCACTGAAGTTATCTGAGATTATAAATATGAGGGGACATCTACTTGTACAAGCAAATCTCCTAAATTGAAAAATAAGCAAAGTATTACACAAATCAAAATCCAGTTTATTGCCAGTGGCTAAAGCAAGTAAGTTCTTAATTATTAGCAACTGACCTGAGAACTTCATGTAGACTGCTAGGGTCTCGATAGAATTGGTTAGGTATGTCCTATTCAAAACAAATGACCTGCTGTAATTATATTCAGATGTAAATATTCTCTCCCACAGACTGACTGTTACTGCACACTACATTGCTACATACTTTCTCTTCCTAGTTAGCTTGCTTTCAACTAAATTTGAATGCAGCCAACAGTAAAGACAACCGGGGCAGGGGGAAACAAAGGGAAAAAACAAACTAAAGCATAGTATTTCTTTCTTTTATTATGGAAAAAAAAAGATTATCTAAAAAGAAACATTTGCTTTCTGTCTTTGTTTCCCAAGAAACAGGCTTGGGTGATTACATCACCTGCTAGACAGAGTTTTACTCAGAGGAGCAGCTCCACAGAGGAACAGGGCAAGATATGAGAGGACCTACATAAGGAGGTGTAAGTCTCTCCTCATGAATAGAAGCTATGGAAAACTAGGCTTCCTAAATTCTACAGTACACCACATTCTCAACTAGAATTTTTATCTCATCTATTCTTTTTCTTGAAAATGTACAGACAACTTTACTAGAATAACTTTACAAAATTTTTCTGTCAAAGAAAAATGAAAAGGCTCAGAAAGTGCTACTGAGACACACTACTGAATAAGCAAAAATAAAATCTCCTGTAGCTCCTATTACAGCTTAAAAATCCTCAGAGTTTACATCTCTGCCCTAAATAACCCCTTCCAGCATAAGACAAGGAAATGCTAAAATTCAAATGATTCCTAATTGTATTAATTCTCACGCATCAAAATAGTGGAAGTTTTTCCCCTCTTCCTGTTTATATGCATACATACATATTTCAAGAAACCTAATCACACGTAAACATGGGTATGAGTTTTCATTATTGTTTTGATCTGGTTTTCAATACTCCATTACTTATTTCTGTACACAAACTAGTCTCCAATTTCTATTACCTTAGATAGTTTAACTACAGATAGAACGTGGTTCTAGCCTGCTGCAGACTCAACATAATAAAGAACTCATCTGCAGTAAAGCAGACTAACTTTTGGCAACATCAATCCACCAGCTGAAGCTAGTTAGCATACAAATATTATAATAAAATGTATTGTTTTCAAAACAAGATTTCACAAATTTTCACTTACTTCAATAAGAATAAGCTTTTTATCATTTTCTGAGGACTCCCCAAGCATCTGAAGTTTGTTATACTTATTTGCTCTTAATAGAAAATCTTGAAAGAGAGCTGCTTGGGCCTGACTTGGAAACATATGAAAACCTGAGTCTGAAAAAGAAAACTAATTAAAATATGTATTCTGTACTATAGGAAGAAGAATATAAATACCCACGCATGCTATTTTCTCACAGTAGCGATTGAACATCAGTAGCCAAGCCCTTTGGCAAACACATTACAAATACAAGAGGATTTTCAAAGTGCAGCATTCAATTGAGGACCCAGATGACGAGCAACTCATCTATTTTCATTTAATTGGCTCAAATTATATACAGGCTATTACATAGCTCTCTATACTGACCTGAACTGCAAAATATTTTGGAGTAAACACTGTAAAAAAACCCAAAACAAAACTAAATCCTTTTTCAAATAAAAGCAAAAGAAAGATTCTTACTAAACACTGTGGGTCTGGCTTACATGGATGTGGATCTGACTTCATATGTCACAGAGACACAAAATAAAAAAAAATACAGAATTCAAAAATCGCAAAAGTAAATGGAAAAGGAAAAAAACCAACTAAAAAAACCACAAAATACTTACCATGGTCAAACATATTTCTTAATTCTTCTTTTGTAAAGTCTAAAGATATTGGATTGGTCCATTCTTGCACCTGAACACCAAGATCCTTTGCTAATATTTCTATAGTTGCAGTCTTTCCACAACCAGGAGGACCAGTTAGCAGTAAAACAGAGCCAGCCTGTCAGAGGGGAAGGAAATTAAAAAAAAAAGAATCCAAACATGATAAATAAAGACTGAAAGATAACTTAAGATTAATATTGACTGAATTTCTCCTATTGTTTCTCCTGTAATTATCCTTTTAAAAACTAAATTAAATAATCTATGTTATTAATTTACCTGTTGAGTATTGAGGCAGAAAGAGCTAGACCAGAACTCTGAAGGCCTTGCTCTCAATTTTTAATATATCTGTTTATTTAACTTCACACCATGTAGACTACCAACATAATACAATTTGAACTGGAGAATAAGGTCTGAAAAACACTAGGCAAGACTGGTAAATGATGCATGTGTGTAAGAATGCTTCTTATCAATCAAGAGGTTAAAAGCACCCTATTACATCAACTGGAAATTTGCCTAGATACTTAAAATTAATCTCTGAGAGATAAAATGCAGTTCCAACCACACACTGAAGAGGTATGAACTGTATGCTAGAAAATAATATTTCTGAGCAAAAACAGAATCCACCTCTTTGCAGCATAAGCTCTAAACAAATGTAAAAGCTCTGATCTATGTTCTTAACAGATTTCTTATAATGCAATAGATATATAATCACTACCTATAAGTTAAGGTTTTTTTCTGAAATAAAAATAAAACCAAATCCAGCTCGTTTGTGTGGTTTCATGTCTCTAGCTGCTAATTTTAGCAAGATTACCTGCTTTGGCTGCCTCTGAAATACGTGCACTTTCAACCACATTTCCACTTCTTCAATTTTCTTCTTTTGCACAGCAAGATCCTTCTGAAACAAGATTATAATAAATGAAATGCATATACACACCTTTTGGTTTCTAAGACTGTAACAATGCTATTCAAGAATATATGCTAACTAAACCATTGACAGACATGTACTTGTAAATTCCAGTTACTTATATTTATGATATACAGAAGTGCAACACTTAAGGATAATCATTTCAGCCTGTTTCAAATTTTCCATTGCTTGCAGTTGGAAAATAACTAATTATTTATCATTACTAAAGTAATGACTTTACAATCTTGCCTGTTTTTGTCAGTATGCTTTCTAGCTATTGCTGGAGCTGGTACTTTTTAGGCTCTCCTGACTCTAATACTGCATAGGTTTATGGAACTTCTACAGATCTCACGCAACTGACTCATCTTGTCTTGTAACTCAATTCCTCTCCAGAGATGAGTTATTAAATATTTAAATATAAAATACGAGTACCACACTAACTGACATCAACCAGCACTCAGCTCTAAGAGGCAGTTAACACACACTGATACCTTTGAAACACACTGAAAAAGCCATTCCATTAGCAGAACCAGTGAAGATAGGTTTATTACAGATTTGAGTCATTTTTCCTTGAAGCCCTAAGGTACCACAATACCCCCCCTCACAAAGCCATGACTAAGATGCATCAAACAAGCAGGAGACAGAGCAAACTGCAATTAGTCAAGTACTCTGAACATGCTAACAGCCCAGTCAACTGCTCTCCAGTAATATGCAAGATAATTTCTGTTGTCCTAGAAGCTAAACTAGATGACAGCTCCTAATACTTAGCTGAAATTCAGTAACAGGTTCAAAAGTTTAGGAGTGGATGGTCAGGAAACAGCTCATCAGTAGCTTTATCTCCTCAGAAAAGCTAGGGGAAATGCATCTCCTGCAGACAAAGAGCTCACTAAAATCTTAACTACAGGCAGCAAATAAATCAAACTAGTACTTCAACACTGCCCTTATGAAATAAGATATACTTAAAACCTTACAAATACAGATCATGAACAGAAGCGCAACATGTTACACTATAATGTTACTACAACATTAGCACCTAGAATAACTCTCACACCTGAGTTTTGGGTTTGTATCTATCTACCCATGGCTCATCTTGAGACTGGCTCCAGTTTTGTCCGGACTTGTTACAAGGCAGATCTACTGAAGACGACTTCAATCTTTTTCTAGGCAGAACTTTGGTTTTGATACTTTCTGGCACAGAAGATGGGTCTTCCTTCTTCTGCTTCCCTTTTTGTCCAGAATTGCCTTCTAGTGGCTTCACAGGAATGGCACTAGAAGAAATATCTGTGTTTCCAAAGAAGTCATCAAATGAATATGACAACCAATCTGTTACCTGGTAAAATACAAACATTTTGTTATTAACCGCACCTCCGCTGGATTTGGTACAGTTGTCCCTAGAAAACTAGAGATTTTTATCAAGTTTCTATACGAATATCTCATAGATGTGAAGAACTTCATCAGCATATTACTTACTTAGTCACAGATTAAGACACTTAAGCTTTTTCGAATGTGTAAATTAAATGCTGCTTCAGTATTTTAAAAAAGCTACACTTTGCATGTTGTGATATAGAGTACTTTGCAATAAAATGGCAAATCAGAACAAGTTTAAAATTCTACAAATGCATATACAAACAGGAGAAATTAAATTAAAACAGAGATAAGAACAAAAAATAGCATAAGCTTATTTATACCATTTTTATATTAAGGTCATGTTCATGTTGTCTCTGTATAGTTTTCAGTATGTGGCTTTTTTTTCTTTTTTAACATTTACAATGCAGCCTTTTGTGTTTAAAAGTTAGAAATAGGTGACAGAGAAAAATATTTAAACAGCAAAATAAAACCAAGTATTATTATTTGTTTGCTGTGTGAGGAAGCACAGACTGATCTAGAATCAGAGTATCATGAGTCAGAAGTCTGTCTGACAATTACAAGGAATGAAACTGTTAATAGCATCAATATTTAATTTTGGATTTGAGAAATACCCTGCTAGGACAGATGTACAAACTTACACACCAGAGCAAACTTTCAGTCTATCTGTGGTCCCAGTGGTCATACACTCTCCGCTGCTAACAAGTGTACAGCAACCTTTTAGCATAGAATCGTAACAGGCTACATGCAAAAACACACTTCTGTGAAAACGGGAGTAACAGATTAGACACATCATCTCCAAAAAGGTTCTATACAGTTTACACATCTCATAAATTAATGCAACAGACCAGAGATTAAGAGGCATGACCAACTGGGAAAGAGGATTTGTCTCTGCACAGTTTGCCTTTAACGTTATTCTGACAAGAACTATTTTTAGTTAAATTTGCATATTTACCAGCGGGCCGGATGACACCGTTTGAGAGGGTTTCCTTTTTACACACTGCACTAAGTAAAAAAATAAACATCTTACACTTAGGAAAAAACGCAACTGAGAAGGAACTGCCAACACAGAGGCCAAGCAGTAATTATCAGGCCTAAAAATACCGCTAACCCGAGGCGCCAGCCAGGCGCCAGCCTCTTTGCGGAAGCTGCAAGAAGCTTCCTCTGCACAGACCGTCAGCCAGAGCCCACCCCGGGTTGCGGCGCGACGATCGCGAACCCCGAGTCCCTCTTCCGTGGCCTACCTCCGCCGGCGCC